AGCCCTTCTCCCTCTCCAACCCCCAGCCCTATTTCCCGTTGGCCCTCCCATTTCGCCTGGCCAGCCCCGTTGCCCCCCCATTAGCTGTTTCCAGGCCCCCCCTTCCAGGCCAGCACTGCTCCCCTCCCAGCTGGTCCTTCTCCCCTCCTCCGCCCATGAAGCGAGTCTGATTTTGTCTGTCTGTTTTTAATGACTACCTGGTAATCCCTAGCAGTGACCCTACCCTTGTGATTACCACAGAGATTTAAACTGAGAAGAAACTTGCCCCCCCTCGGCTCCCAACACCCCAGCCCCAGCCCCGGGTTCTGCAAGGCTGCTGGCACAAAATGGTCTTGAAGTTTGTTTCTTTTTGGTCAACAACTTTGGTCCCCTCCCCCCCCCTTTTTTCCTTCAACAGAATTTTTTCTCAGTGTTTTTTTGGGGCGGGGGTGTTTAGTATTTTTGTTTCAACCATCTGGCAACCCTGCATGGGGCTGGCTGCGAGGCTGCTGGCATGTCTCGGGGGACAGGGCAAGAGACTTCGGCCAGCTCGCTGACGCCAACGTCTCGGCCTGGGGGGGCTGGGTCTTGGAAGCAGGCCTCACGTCCCAGGTGGCGGGCTTAGCCGCCGCGAGGGCCTGGGCCTGGGCTTGGTGCCTGTGAGGACCCTGGTGCTGCAGGCTGGGTGACCGTGGGCTGCCCCGGCAGGAGAGGAACGCCGAGAACGCCATCGAGGCCCTGAAGGAGTATGAGCCCGAGATGGGCAAGGTGTACCGCACGGACAGGAAGTCTGTGCAGAGGATCAAGGCCCGGGAAATGGTCCCAATGCCCTAGGAGGATAGCCAAGGCTTGCTGGGCCCCCCCATCCCCAGCTCTGGGCCTTGTTTACCACCTGGCCCCGGCCTGCCCTGACCCCAGGCTCCTCCCCGTGCTGGAGTGTGTGTGCAGGAACAGACAGTCCCGACTGAAAGTGGAGCCGCGCGGAATCCCCTTCGCACTGCACTTGTTCAGTGACAGGTGTTCCCGCGTCTTAGGAGGATAGCCAAGGCTTGCTGGGCCCCCCCATCCCCAGCTCTGGGCCTTGTTTACCACCTGGCCCCGGCCTGCCCTGACCCCAGGCTCCTCCCCGTGCTGGAGTGTGTGTGCAGGAACAGACAGTCCCGACTGAAAGTGGAGCCGCGCGGAATCCCCTTCGCACTGCACTTGTTCAGTGACAGGTGTTCCCGCGTCTGGGCTGCAGCCAACGTGTCCATCATGCTGCCCCCAGCCTTGGGGGGGAGACCCTGTGTTCCCCACACCAGCCCCCTCTCTGCAGGCGGGAGTGACCTTCTCTGCCCCCACCCAGCGCCCCCCAGCAGCGCTGCCCTCACCA